TATTATTATTATTATTATTATTACTATTATTGCTATTTTGTTTAGTAGTAGTACTAATAATAATAATATTAATATTAATAAATATTATTATAATTTTTTACTAAAATCTAGTACAACTACTACTACTATTAGTTATACAACTACTACTACTAATTTTAAAACAAAACAATAGTGACAACAACAACAATAATCATATATTAATTATTATTATTTTTAATAATAATAATAATAATAATAATAATAATAATAATAATTAATATTTTAGTAGTAGTAGTAGTAGTAGTAATAATAATAATAATAATAATAATAATAATAATAATAATAATAATAAATATTATTTTTGACATTATTATTATTATTATTATTATTATTATTATTATTATTATTATTATTATTACTAAAAGCCTAGTACAACAACTACTATTACTACTAATACTAAAACAAACAATAGTGACAACAACAAAAACAAAAATATTCATATATTCATTATTTTTATTATTAATATTATTATTTATTGCTATTTTTGTAGTAGAAGTACTAGCAATATTAATAATAAAAGCAACAACAACAACAACAATAATAACAATAATAATAATAATAATACATATTATTATTATTACTAAAAGCCTAGTACAACAACTACTACTACTATTACAACTAATAATAAAACAAAACAATAGTGAGAACAACAACAATAACAATATATTCATTAATATTATTAATTATTGTTATTTTTGTAGTAGTAGTAATAATAGTAATAATAATAATAATAGTAATGATAATAGTAATAGTAGTTGTATCCAATCTTTTTTTAATTAAGTGTTTTTGCTAGCTTTATTTCACTATATTCAATGTAAAGGTGGAACAAAAAAGTGCACATGAAATAAACAGGTTAGCAATGATTTATGAATTTCAGCATGAGGTCAAAATGAGCGGAAAACTAGAAAACCCACTCAGTGTAAAATCAAAAAGCTGAATAAAGAACACCTATATTTCCTCATCCCTCTGTCATAGCGCTCACGTCCCTGCAAATGTATATTTCCCACGAAAAATGGAAAATATATACACCGTTATGCTTGACAAGCTTCTGTCTTCGTACGAATGGTGAGCTACTGTATGCCTTTGACTCATTCATAAATCGTCATTGCCATTTCTCATAAGGTCATCATAAAGAATCTGAAATTCATTTTGAAGAATCACTTTCAAATTACGTAAAATAAATAGAAATACAGTACTTCACTATATGAGCTTTTAATGGGAGCTTATAGTTTGCTACTGTCACAATATGTGTGTACACTCTAATTCAATGTTTTCAATGTGTTAATAGTTGTCCAGCTGATATTAAGTTATCTGTAATGCTTTTTTTAAATCTGTTTTTTTTATAACACTCTTAAAATGTTTGTGTTAATAAAGAGGTCACTTTTAAAAATTTGACAAAGGTATTTATATATAAGCCCAGAGGAAGCTGAGGGTTTAGTTCTGTGAGGGTTTACCAATAAGTGAGTGATTTGTGGCAGTCGTCGTGGTAATATGTGTCCCATCAGTCAGCAGGTGGTGGTCAGGTTACTGTGTCCTGTTAGGACGGGCCGTCATAGAGGCGTACAGTGACACAGAGGGTTACCAGCGCTGAAGTTTATTTAGGTCAGCCATTTATGGCCTGTCTAAAATGTCAACAGCCTTTTTGTTTCAGGATAGAGACATTATTTGGGATGATATTCAACACTGAGAACATCCCTACTGCCCTGTCACAATCCAGGCTTGTTTCACTAAAGAATAACCCCCACTTTTGAAGAAAAATCATCATATTTTAATCTATTTTCTTCTTATTTTTTTGTCTTTTATAAACACAGAATATTTTATAGACAATATTTTTTCTTAATACTAGTTTTGAATTAAAATTCTCATTATTGTGGTAACTACTTTTGTTTGTATTCTTTAATGTTTAAATGTGTCCAAAGCACTATATCTGTCTTAAACATCTAAAGTCACCAGCATTTAAATTTCCCAAACAGTGTTAAAGAATTAGTTTGAAGATTCATTCTTTCTAAGCCCCTCCTTTCCCAAAGCCTATTCTGCTCCGATTGGTCAGATTATGGCAAAGCCTGATGTGATTGGGCAGCTATTTACAGTGCCTGTCAGAAATGAAACATCATTATGTTCACAGTAAATTTCACTCTGGATGTTTTTTGAAGTTTTTTTTTTTTTAAGATTGATAATAATCAATAAATTAATTGATTACAGTCAGCACAGTCTATTACATAATATATGTATCAGAAATCTGTATAGCATATATATATCTCCACAATATATTATATTAATGCCATTTTTAATCAAATAAAGGTTTCTTAAAATTAGGTAATAAATAAACAATGTCGTTATTACAAATAACTTGTCTTGCACTATACCTAAATATACACCAAACTTAGCTCATTGATTTGAATAATTAAAATAGCTCATTGGTTTGAATAATTAAAATGTAAAACATTGCAAAAACATTGAGGAATATTAAAAAAATTATATATATATATATATATATATATATATATATATATATATATATATATATATATATATATATATATATATATATATATATATTTTTTTTTTTTTTTTAAAAAAAAAAAAATAAATATATATATATATATATATATATATATATTTTTATATATATATATATATATATATATATATAT